GTTCAATAAATTAGAGCAATAAATTAAGTTAGTTTTGTGTGAGGGTGGTGTCAGTGATGCGAGGGAAGCTGTGAGCGGTAGGCAAGGTTTTGCGCCGCGACGTCGCCGTCGAGTGAGCGTCTGTCCCAGCCACCACCGCCCCCGCTACTGGGCTGCCATCCGTGGTGGTGTTGTTGGTGACCGCCTCCTCCGCCACCGCCACCTTGCTTCTGTGACAGCAGTTTCTTGAGAGCAATGATGAGTGACAGCACCAGCGCGATCTTGCTGATGATGAGGGCCTTTCCGGCAAGCAGGAAAAGACCGCCTATAGCAAGGGGCACGATGGCTGCCGCCTTCATCGCCAGACCCATCATCATCATGCCCATCATCTTCTTCATCTTCCCGCGACCTGAAACATTGTCATCGCGCTTATTACGTTCTGGGAAGAATACGTCGTCAGTTCACTTACCCACCTCGTAGCGGAAAGAACTCTCGTGCAGATGAACGCATTGAAGAGGAAGGGAGGAATAAAAGAAAAGAAGAACAGGGGAAATAGGAGAAGAAGAGGAAGGAGGGAGACAGAAAATTAAGGATAATACTAGAAATGTAGGAAAGTAGGCTAGACAAAGTCGGTGAAGGAGAACAAACAGATGGAGGTTGAGAGGAGAACAATGGAGATGCAGCGGGAGGAGGAAACAAAGATGGAACAGAAAAGAGGAGAAGACGGAATAATAACGGAAGGCGAGGAAAAATGAATAAGTCGGATAAGGTGATGAATGAGGAGAAATTAAGAGGAATATTAAGGAAAATAATAAAAATTGCTATTAGAAAAGGGCGAAGAAGGGGATTAAGATTAAGAATGGCGAGAGGAAGATGGTTTAAAGTAGACAGAGAATGTAAAAGAAAATAAGGTAGAGAAGGAGAAGACATTATAATGAGGTTTTTATATAGTATTCATATCGTAGTATTAAATAAGCCATCACTCTGCAAAACTGATTTCTTCCTCATGAGTGGATTCTTGGAACGGATAAACTTGAAGCCCCCTCGCACATAAACAGACTACATAAAATCTGAAGGACAGGTGACGTACCACCGCGGTAGATATAGTAATATAGGGGCCCGATGTCCGATTTTAGTCCAGATACCTTCACTGAGGTTATTCCTACTTTTCATTAGCCCTTCGGTGTGTGCTCTGACCTCTCTCTGCCTCGTTCATCGCTCCCGCTTCCTCGCTGACAGCCATCTTCCCACTGGGTGTCAGGCTTAAAGAACTGTTACAGGAAAATGTCACTTCCCGTCATTGTTAATCTCGACAGCAAAAGCAAGCAAGTGGCGGTCTTCACTCTCCGACCGCCTTCTATTCGGGAGGTTGAGAAACTGGATGAACTCAAAACTGGGTCTGGTGGTGACCCTGCCGGGACTTGAAATACAATGGGAAATTTGCTATTTGGGCTAACCGACTTGTAGTACAACCGACCTTAGACACAACACCATAATTTGACCTGCTGTATTGAATGGGTTTAAAACTTGGCCTGTCACTCTAAGGAATTAACACGTTTACAGCGCGATAATTGTGGACAGAAGGACATTTGGACCTGGGTAGCTTTTCATCATTGGCTTGGAGGCTCTAAGAAATTACAGAGGAACGTCTGGGGAAGAGATTCCAAACCGAGATTTGAATAACTACCTTGATGCTTGGAAATATATATATATATATACTTTAATTTTCTGCTTGGATTGATTCAAACCAGGTAAACAGATCAAATCTAAATCTATCAAGCGTAGGAACAAATAAAAAATAATCTCATCCTATAAATAAAACGAAAATTACACTTCCCGCTATATTGAATTAGTTCTTAGGAAGGCTACATCTCCTTAGTTGGCTACTAGACAGGCACATGTGACCCTGATATAGTTAACTGGATAAGTTCAGAATATGAATAACAAGGACTTCCTAATCATTTAAAAGATTTTGAGAATTCAGCGAGATAATACTTGTACATAAATTAAACCTTTCTGTTAATACATTACTTAAGAGGATTAAAAATAAATGGGAAGGGCAGGATCTCAATTAACAAAACTTCTTTATGTATATGTGCCTTTGAGGTGTTAGTATTGGACTAGTAAAATCAAAGCGAACGGGAATAGAATTTTCTAGGAACAATAAGACAAATTAAATCTGAAGATTTGCGACGATGGTGTATCGTTAAAACAACAAACTTTCTGGACATTATCCATTATCTTGGTCTTTTGTTAGAATATAAAAGGATTCAGAACATCCATCCTCAGGTATTAAGATAAATATTAGGTAAAATGTTTATGAGTTTGGGTGGCAGATCAGAATGTTTTGTGATAATACCAAATGACGGTCCTTTTATAATCAATGTCGAGTCACGAGGGTTTCAGAACTAAGAGTTTTGTCTAAATCTTGGGCATCGAACTCATTGAGGTTTATGAAGCCAATCCATGCACATCGCTGCCGAGAATGGCTGTCGGGAGGACCGGTAACAGCTTTAGAGCTGTCTGCAATTACTGGAGCAGTAATGTATGTCTGGGTCGCGATGATGAAGGATCTATCCAGCAATTCAGAATGAACACAGACAGACAGACAGGTGGGAAAACTGATCCGAGTAACGGAATTTAGTAAGATGATAATTCCATTCTGGGTTGAACGTTTAGAAGTATGTCAAGCGTATAACAACTGTCGCCTCTGAATAAACTATGGATGATGATTGGTAGTATTGTAGGTTAATTTGGGCTGTAGTTAGAAACCCTACATAAAATAATGTCTTTATTGGGGCCACGGTTTGTTACTGGAACACAAAAACATTTAGTCATATTGTCCATTACAACTACGTACAAATTCTTTTATGTTAACATATCAAAATGAAATACAGTACGCACAATAAGTAATATATTTTCGTTAATATAAAATACGAATTAAAATTTGGTTTTTACAACTTTGAACCCCTCACCCCTATTTATTTATATTAATGTATGGGCTATATACTTCTGGTGGCAATAGGACATAACACCAATAACGTTAGTCAATAATTCCCACATCTTTTATGGAACACAAAGGTTTATCACCCCAGTCAAATTGCGCCGATGTCTCTTATATTCAGCCACTTCAATCCAGTTAACTCACTTCATCCTGTTTTATAACAACCGTATGAATTTTATTATATCATCTTCATTTATGCATAGCATGTGGCCGTTTTACTCTTGAGGACTGTAATATTTATCATCTCTGCCAATATTGTCTTCGTTATTTCGAACATCTTAATAAAAGTGTTGAAGCGTACAAATTAAGAAGTCCCTCATGATTTAATGTTCTCGTTATTAAGTCCAAATATCCTCCTCAGTACTCTCTTCAGTCCAGTTTCTCCAGTCTGTTTGTCTCTTATGGTGAGAGATGAAGATGCACACCATTAGCATTTAAGATAAATTCACTTTTTTATTTCAAAATCTTTGGTTTTAAAATAGAGGAAAGCAAAACATATTTTGTATTGCCTGTTATCAAGCATTCTCCTAATTTAATATCCTCTTCCCAGTTAGGATTAGCCTGTCTCCGGCCGATATTTTTTATATAAATTTGAATGCAGATTAGTGATTATTAACACATATTTAAGAAACAAATAGGTTGTAGATATACCCCAAAATAATAAAACCAATATATTGGTTTTCGACTTTTTTTCCTTAAACTATAGAATTGTTCTCTCCAATAAGAATTCATTTCGAATTATAGTCTACAAAGTTTACCATTTAAAGGCAACCATCCAGCAGTCATTTACTACGGTAAAAAAATTAAATCAAAAGCAGTTTCGCTCGTGTAACAGACAATCCGAACCTGTTCACGTGACACGTTCATGTATAATAATTATATTCCATTTTTAAATCTAATGTTCTGTATCAATGTTTCCCCGTTCAGTACTGTTAATTAGTTGGATTCATTAAATAATGTTGATTATTTGGTTGTTTCTTAGATTATTTAATTTCGTTGTTTCAAATTCATTGATTATATAACATCGAATTATAGAAGAATGCAAAGATCTGTAACGATTTGCTCGTCGTAATTTTTAATGGCTTATCCCGACATTCGTGTGAAGGACTGAGAAGAACTGTGGAAATTATGATACTAGTAGCCTCCATACAATTGGTTACCAGACGGATATTCTAACAGTTAAACTACGAATAAACATGTGAAGTTAAACTGGCAGTCACTGATCACAATTATGTAACATCCAAGAAAATTTTTATTCAATTAACATAAACTCTGTTTAAACATGTGAAGTTAAACTGGCAGTCATTGATCACAATTATGTAACACAAACTCTGTATCTGTTATGGGGTGTCAAAGTTCAGGTTCTTAGTTACGGATTAAAATTGTATACATGAAGTTAAGGAAAACCTTGTGGTTATTCTCTTCAAAATCTGTTGCTTTCCTGAATCCTATCTGAATACAAAATTAATTTTATCTTATTGTTTTGTCTTGCTTTGAAATTTGTCTCTCGCGATCAACGACCTAAGATACGTATTCTAATAAAACACTGGAGACAAATACGTAATAAGGATATGTGTAATTTGTAGCCTACAATCAGTGTTGTTAAGAATATTAAACTGAGTAGGATGAGGTGTTCTGTAAAATTAAAAATTCATATATAATTTTGATAGAGAACGCTTTCGAGACGTGATAATTTTGAATAGCAAGAAATATGAGTTTAACATTAAGATCGTAATAACTGAGTTAGTATCTGGCCGAGAATCGTGATTTACGGTGGGCTGTGGTCCTAGCTGTGTTGGGACTTTGCTTCTGATAACAGAGTTGGTTGTGTGTCATGGAAACAGTTTGTAATAACACGAGGTGAATACGACTGGCTCAAGATGAGGTTCGATATCGGGCTTTCTTTAACCTCTGAATTATGTTGTCAGAGAGACACTTAATGACGATGTGACTGGCGTGAACCAGTACAGCCTCTGCTAGTACCGGAAGATGCCAGTACAACTGCTTTAGTATACTCATTCCCGGGAACTGGGACAATTTTCTGAATTTGGATTTACCGTTGCAAGGAAGCCCAGATTTTGAGATTATGCACGATACTGTAACGCTTAATTAACCCTTTGTAAAGAGCACATGATATATGAGTCATGTATGTATGCTGGGACAAAGACATTCTGTGTGAAATTTTAGTTAAGAGTTATCATATCAATACGTTAATTAATGACGAAAATTTTTAGAACAGAAATCGGTTGGTTTATATTCTGAAGTTACTCGGTTCGAAACTCGTCCGGCTTACCAGAGTTGTTCTTTTATGGTTCTTACATTTGAATGCGTTTCAGTACTATTAAATGTGCTGCGGCCTTCCAAATCCTTGTCTACTCGCCGCTAATAATTATATTTCCATCTTCGTTTAAAGCTGTATAAACTTTACAGTTGATGTTATAATTAAATCACGCTGTTTAATTAATTCAAAAAAAAATATTATTATCTTAAGAAACAATTCGTCGACGCTGGTTGGCTGTAGGAAACTGATATTCCAGTGTCTGGTTATCTGACTACGCTCTTTGACAGCCATCAAGTTCTGGATAATGAGATTTTGCTTTCTAGCCATTGGCTATTTCGAAATTGTTTTTTTTTTCTAAAAGTGTAACACTGCCTGGCGTGTTCGGTTTCGGAATTATTCAGCCCATCTCGGACGAAGTTTCTTTCCATCGCTTCATTATAATGGTAAATAGGAATGATGCTGTGATTCTTAAATATTTAATTTTAATTACCTGTGATTAATTTCTTTTGCATTTTATTAACGCATAAGATTCTTTATGTGAAAGTTATCTCTCACGCAAAAGAAAAACATAGTCTGGAAATGTTTAAGAAAGAGAAGCTGGAAAAATATTTGAACCCAAAAGATATATAATACAGGAGGTTAGCTATACTTACATAACAAGTAACTTAATGGTCCTTTTTACTAGATATTGTTAAGGTAATAAATTGAAAGGGTCTGAAGGACGAACGGATGAAATAAGAAATGCTTAAAAAATTATGTCGAAAAACTTCAGAAAAGAGATAGCTTGTTAGAATTATGACCTGTTGAAAGAATAATATTAAAATTAATCTGAAGGAGTAGAGTGCGTAGTGGATCCGACAACTTCAGCTTGTAGTTTAGCGCTGGGTTCGTGTGAAGACGGTAATGGGCATATGGATTTCATACGGACGAGGAACATCTTTAGACGCTGAATTACTATGAAGTTAGTGTCATGTATTTAACATTGAAAGTCAATTGGCTACTGAGATTACATATTTTCTAACATTAATATTGGTTCTTTTGTTGTACATTTTAACTTCCTGTGTTGTTCGCCACGTATGTAGCGGAAATAAGCCTAAATTGTCTGAAGTTTTAAAAAAGGTGTCATCTTCTCAGATTATTTGTCTGTATTCGGTACAACCAGATTGATATTGACCTATTTTATTGCGGTTAGAGAGCAATAAATATTCTTAGGATTTGAGGTTTTCACGGCGGTGAGTATGAAGATTTCTGTCTTCTGAGTTGTTGCGCCGTGTAGCCTGGTAGAAGTTTACCAACGTTTCAGAGGTCCTTGCTGCGATGAATATCATCCTGATGATGGAGGCAACAAAGACCTCTGAAACGTCAGAAAACTTCTACCAGACTACACGGCGCAACAACCCAGAACTCAGAAGACAGCCATCTTCAATAACACTTCTTAGTAATTTCAGTAGAAATTAAAATTGTCTCTTTTAAAAGTGCTGTTGCCATTAGGCAGATCTTAGAAGTATGGAGCACGGCCTATATTTTTCGTTGAGGTTATTAGTTAAAATACATGGCGAAAGAGTTCCAGAGAAATGAGGATAGAATTTAAGGCACGAAGGGGATACTGGAATCGAGGAAAATGGTTAGGGGACAAACATAAAAAAATTTCCCTTTAAATTTCAAGGGTTCTTGCAAATTCTATTTCGTAATAAAATCGATATGTTGTGCAAGTACAATGCTTCTTGCCACTTAATGGCATTTCTGTTCTGATATGTTGGTGAATGTTTTTGAGGAACCAAGCTTTCTACAAGTGGCGTATGCTATAATCGACATATGTGGATGTGTACGAGTTATAGTCACAATAAGATCGGTTATGGGTGTACAAATGAGCGAAGTCTTAAAGTACATTCTTATTGATCATAACCTACAGTTAAACGTCTAAATGATCCTAAGTGAAAGGTAAACCTGTATTTGTTTAAAAAGTCTGCTTTCTAGAATGTGGGGCATAACTCAATAGCAAAGAAAACCACAAAAGAAGAATTTTACAGTAATAGTCCGCTTGAGTATCTGCTGCTTTGTTTTTAAGCGATTTTCCCTCCGCACTTTATTTCTAGAACTAACCAGAGAAATAACTTTCCTTCCACAGTTAGGAAATAATTCAACTCGACGGTCATGAACATGTGTCCATGACACACGAATGCAATGCTGGAGTACAAAAACCGAGAGAAACTTATCAGTTGACTCAATGTCGTTAAAAACTTATTTTTGAGTAAATCGATTAAATTTGTTTGAGATTCTTGCAATATATATATGGTGTGGTGGGCCGATACTGATAAAATAAATATCTAAGGATATTTCAATACAAGTTTAAAACGACGAATTTTGTAATGTTTTTTTCTTTTTTGGTTTACGAAATAAATTATGTTGACATACGGATGGGCGTGCCTCAAATTATCCGTTGAGGTCAAAGACTGCATAAATACACAACATTAATAATTCTAGCAACTTTAAATCACACTGACAGTGAGGCTTCTTGTCTTTTTTTGTTTAAAGAGAATGCAATTGATTCCAGACAGACCGATGGTGTCACAGCTGAACCTGTTTCTCTCCGTTCTAAACACCTGTCCAAAGGCAACGTTTAAAAGAGCCGTCATAACAGGTCACGAGACTTACTGTCTGTTTTATCATTCTCTGATTGCCTTGATTTCATGAGATAAATGAATTAACATAAGAAAGAAGACAGTTATGAACATCTGCACAATTTATAGTTTTAAAGATGGCTGTCTTCTGGGTTGTTACGCCGTGTATCCCGGTAATTGTCACTTAACTCGCCATTTTTATATTGATTTACAGGACATGTATCAAGTATGGGAACGAAAACTTCTTAGAGAAATTTTGACTGAATGCCACGATGTAGTGGTTGGTATGCCTGTTTCGTATGTAAAAGTCCCTGGTTTGACGTCGATCTGGAGACCGTTTATATTGTCTGAGTATCTGTAGGGCTTTACCAAGACTCTGAAGGTAAATCCGTAGAACGTTTGAGATAAGTTTCCCCTTGCTTAGAACCACGCCATAAAGGCATGTCGTGTGTGAGTGGAAATCATTCTTAGCTTCGACGCTAAAGGGCGGTTAGTCGTCAGCTTTGTATTTTGATCCTGGAAAACCAGGCTGGATTCTCCACTGGACTCGAGGCGTTGCCGGACTAAAAAAACTGGCCTGGAAGATCTTCAAACAGAATTGAACGTTTCCGTTTAGGTCTGTTTGTTTCTAGTTTATTATACGGTAACATTCTAACATCTGATGCTTTAAAACAAGTATATATTGTAAATAAGTCGCTTCGTTGACTTTAAGGTTGAACTCTGTTATGTGTATTCAACAGGTGAATTGCTGTCAAATGAGGTTGGAGGATTATGTTGGCCTTTTCCGTATTTATTGTACTAAACATATAAGTCATTTACTAAGAACTAGTGTCTACGGCTTCTCCCCCCCACGCCAAGGCCGATCACTAAACAGGGTATGGCGACAGCTGCATATAAAGGTTCATGTTCTAGGTTTAACACGCAACTTGAATATTATATGTAAGATTTGAGGTTTTCACAGCGGTGAGTATGAAGCTTTCTGTCTTCTGGGTTGTTGCGCTGTGTAGACTGGTCGATGTTAACCAACGTTTCAGAGGTCATACTGCGTCCGTCATCACCCAGAAAACAGAAATATTAATGAATTTTATAACTACAGTAATTGAAAATCTGTTCATACACACCTTCTTCAAGATTTCGTTTCAACTCCGTAGTTTCAACTTTTGGGAATGCGATCTGGACCTTGTAGGAATTGAAGAAACTAGCTACTCTGTCCAGAAGCAGCTCGTTCAGCTGCAACTCCCTCGCCTCGTAGCTGCTCTTTGGTAAGGAAGCCTCAAGCTCTGCCTCAGTCAGGGATCTGCCAACAGGCGTCTGCTGTTGGTCCAGAGAGGCAGAACTTACTCCGTTCTTGACAAGAACCAGAGACTCCGTCAGTGGAATTTCTATAGTTCTCATTGCTCGGTCAAAAAATGTAATTGCCTTCATTTTCAAACATGGTGACAAACCGTCCTTTTTATTACAGTCGTCATACAACCGAAGGAAAAACCTGAGTCCAGTGGCAACATGATCGTCGCCATTTATGTTGATTTTTACGTCATCTTGAGCCTTGACAACGCCTACGATGAAAAGAAGTGTCGCGAGCGAAAACACAGATATCCTTCTTGACGGCATGTTCAGAAAAAAGGCACTGTCCTTATCAACACAGACACTGTATCCGGCACAGACTGAGATGGGATCAACAGCACTACTGTACTTTTGCCGAAACAACTCAGCACATTTATAGAGAATTGTATTGGAGGAGGAACTTTAAGCATGTCCCCTCCTCCCCCGCCGCGCTGTTACCCCATATTCCGCCCCCTAACGATGATCCATCTCTTACTGTGTATTTATCTCACTTTACCGTGTGAGTTTTATTCATCTCCCAGCCATTCTCCTTTTCCGTACCGGCATGCTAAATTATGCCTCGAGTTTGACCTTTCGTGTTGACCTTTCATCCGCGATTCTCAGGCAAACGCTATCCGGAGCCCTGGTCGGCGGCGACTGTAGTCTCGTACGTCTTGTGGTTGTCCGAGAACACAGCATGACGGAAATATACTCGCGATGTTATTCTTTCGTATGTGAGTATGCATTTGTGGCACATGTATGCAGATGATTATTGGGTTTCAATTGGAGATGTTTTAAACCATGGAGTTGAATTTAATGATTATATTGAAACGGTAAACATATAAGGTTTTAAGAGGATAAGATCGTGGAGGGAACCATAAAGGAAGCTTAGTCAACATCTCCGGCAGACAAACAGAGATTGAGGAACTTGCCGAATAGTTTGTAGCTTCGGTTAACACTTTTTATGCTATATATTATACATATTACAGCAAAATCAGCTTCTTCTTTAATATTTATCTCTGGAGTCATCCCTGTCTTGTATGTCAAGATATCCATATAAGCGGACATGAATATTCGAATAAAGACGGAAATTTTTAAAAATATCTGTTCTGTTATTAATTTGGATAAATCTAATAACGAGAACTCACTGTAAGAATTTTTAGATAAAAATATACGGCCTCCAAATTCAGGGTTGTGGCAGAATTAATAGAAAAAATTAACCATTACTAATGCAGTAATTAAGGTGAGTTAGGTCTTACATACAAATTAAAGCATCTTACATTTTTTCGTTTGTCAAAATAATTTGTTGAAGTCTTTTTATAAATAATTTCAAGGTAACCATCAACAATTACAGAAAGAGAACTATTAGTTACTTTCGGCCAGAATGACTAAGTTCAAAAGCAGTTTATGTTCACTTAATTCAATCTTAAAGCGTAACAAAGAACTATGAGTCTTTAAACTTCACATCTTCACTTAAGAAACAAAAAGGTTATGTAATTATGTATGTAATGTACGTATGCAATTACTATGTGTTGTGCCAACGTGTAATTATCGGTAGCAACTTGGAAAGTTAAGAAGGATACAAACCTGTTTATTATATACTTTTTTAAACCGTGAAATACTACGACGAATTCCCTGGAGAGACTGCTTCTCAAGAAACTGATAGTAGCTCAGCTGGTGATAAAATTCACCCGGTTTTCTGGAACCTCTCGATTTATTACCATGTTTACAAGAGCCACTGGATCTGTCCAGGAGCAGATGAATCCAGTCCTATTTAAATATCATTTTAATATTATACTGCAGTCTAGACCTAGTTCCTCAAAATAGTTCTCCCCTTTCATATTTTTGAATACAGTTTTGTAATTTCCTTTAGTTTTGAATGCTGAGTGCCCTGAAAGACCTTATGGCTATTATTATTATCCCATCTCTTCACAACTTTATGGGGTTTTTACTTCCATGTACCCGAGACAGACATTATCCCTAAGGTACATAGGGCAGCAGGTACTTCCGGGATACATATTGTTTTTAACACGTGTTACATGTAATATATAATTTTATTGTTAGATATTATTATTATTATTTAGTATTATTGAATTGAATTATATTACTTAGGCATCGTATTTAACCCATTTACTTGTGAAATATTATTCAATAAATGAATTGAATTATTATTATTATTATTATTATTATTATTATTATTATTATGGTATTCTTTCAATTCAAATAATAATAAAAAATTGAATTGAAAGAATTGAATTGAATATGGTATATTTATATATTTAGTTTCATTAGTTTATTTTTGTATTTTTATTATTATTGAAATTAATTTAATTATTTATTATATTTTATCCTGTACTCTGGTTTAGTGCTTGGCTGTTATTGGCCATATTTGGCTGTTATAAAGCACTTAAATAAATGAATTGAAATGAATTACGTGTTAATTAGACTGTTGTACTGAATCTGACAATATAACCAATAAATTATGTCTGAATATCCGAATTGTGTAGGCACGATGTTTTCGCTGTCGTCTGAAGTGGTGGGATTAAGAGTCTCTTGGCCTGGATAAGGTGTGTTCTTGACATACATCATCAGGCTGAATTTTTGGTCGTCATCTTTAATAGCCCTGTATAGGGCACACTTCACATCAAAACTGAGCACGTTTTTGAAACCAATATTTTACACACACATACCTCGTTCTCTTAAAACGTTTTAATGTGACAGATCTCGAAAATAACTTGTAACAAGTCTAATTTTGAAGCGGTCAATTGTGATGAGTCGGTCTTTGTTAAGTTTTTGTTTCTTTTTCTTACAGAATGACGCGAGATTAATTCTTAACCCCCCCCTTCCTCTCCCCGTTCGACTACACAGATGATTGTGCAATGTCCTTTTTTCGCCCTGAAGGTAAAAGTCACCAGCATGCTTATTAGACGTCATTCCACGAACACACATTCTCTGGACCAGACAGGTTATAGAAGTGGGTTACCGGCTCGCATATGGTTTTCTTATGTGTATTTTTCTGATACCTAAGTAACGAACTTGCCTTTACATGGAGAATGACACTTATGGGTTCCGGAACTATGGAGGCTTTCCAGTAGCCTACTGTGTCATATATGACGCTTCACAAATATTAGCAATGTGTGTGTTGTTAATTGGCTGTCATATTGTTTGTTGTAATTGTTATTTCTAGCTTACAGCATAAAGCGTATAAGACTATGTTACAACCAGTCAAACTATTAATTATTAATTATAACCTGCTCGTACAGGTATTATTGGAACCTTGATAATAAATCAAAGAATAAGTTTGTGTTGGTTGTAGCGAGGACATGTCAGGAATACGTCTTAGGGGTTCATTTATAAGTTAATAAACATTTGACAATTAGCGACTGAATCTTAAAGATCTCTCTGTGTGTCCATCTATCGTCATCTATCTATGTATATTTTCAGACTGTGTTGTTGAGAAAAGAAATCTTTACTTTTTATAAGATGATAGAGTTGCGTCATATTGTGAAAATATATATTTAATTAATTAATCTTTGTCCGTCTAATCACAATTTAAAATTTAAAATTAAGATAATTAAAATACCATGTGATGCTCCTTATCGAAACATTCGATTTACATTTAGAACATCTCTTTCTCACTACATGTTTCAGTTCTTAGATGAACCATCTTCAGGTGTGTAAAAATTAAAATTATATAAACTTAAAACTTAATCATAATTTCTTATATGCAACCTTTTTTGAAGTTGTTTATCAGTTATTAGTGACGTTCACTTCCAGATTCTATTTTAATATATTTGAGGATCGTGTTTACAGAGGCTCTTGTATATTAAGATTTTTGAACCCTCGGGTTAATGGGAGAAGGCGAGCTGTATTTCTAAGGTGTCTCGTTTATTTAATAGAAAGGACCAATGTAGTGTGAAGTAGGTTCTGATTTATATCCTAGGCTCCTCAGCGGAAGATGTTTGCACGGGCTGTCGTGATAATCTCTGTAACAAGAAACACAAATTCGCTTCGGCATAAATTGAATGTTTACTGGACCGGATTTCATTTGTGTCTGTAGCATAAACATAATAAGCTTTCTAACAAGAAACAAATATAGGTGGCGTTTAAAAAGTGTGTGACCCAGACAGGCGATTTGCCATTTCAGTATACCTGCCACAGATCCACTACTCATGATCATTCTTTAGCATTAGCCCATCAGTAAACAATGCTCACAAAGAGGTTTCATTCACTGTCTAACTCATTTCGTCCTTTATTTAATCAGTACACGAATTTTACTTTGAAATCTAAAATGTTAAGCTTCTCATTTTGTAGACTAACTTTGCCGTCCTTTGCGTAGACAACTACTTCTTTCATAGTGAAGTTCAGGTCGTCACAGCGGTAAGTATCGAGATGGCTGTGTTCTGGGTTGCTGGGCCGTGTTGTGTGGTAGAAATTTGCCCTTGTTGAGACTTCAAATAGAAATTTCGTCTCTCAACTTGAGGTAAATTTACGATTTAGCAGTTTTAAAACTTACCTTTCTCTTTCAATCTTCCTACCTTTATTTTCATTTCTTTATCTTCCTTTATATCTTCTTTACTTTCTCTCCTTCTATATTCCTTTCCGTGTCGGAAGACTCAGGAGGGATCCTGTTTCAACAGCACAGTGAGATACTGTCACATTCTGTCTGAACTCCCAAGTAATCACAATTTTGGGAAACAATTGTTACGTCTGTCACAAGGCACGAATTTCAATGACCTCTACAAAGACAAGCGGTCGGATTGGTTCTTCATTTGTTACAACGAAGAGAGCTTTCTAGGACGAATCGTGCAGAATCTCTGAGAGGGAGAGACCACGGCGCAATACGGGTCTTCAGCCAATACGTCATGGGGCTCGTTAGCAACATCTGTTCTTTTTTTACGAGCTGATCTTGGAAAGTCTTCTTGGAACTTACATTTCAACTAATTACTAAGTAGTTAAATCGCAGTCGAGTGGTTACCGCTACTGTTTCGTATTCAGAAGGTATCAGGTTCGTATCTCGGTCTTCGGAGATCAGCTATCTTGTTCGGTGTTTCGTGGTTTTTCGTAGTTTCTCCAGTAAATTAAGTGGTACCTTAAATTAGGCCACGAGAGCTTGCTTCGACATCCTTTTCAATTCTTTACTCATTAAGAATCCTGTGATTCAACGCTGTATCGTCTTAGCTGCTAAGAACTTTAAGCAAAATTTAAGTAAATACCAAACTACATTACTAACGCTATGGTACAGAGTCTTAATTGAAAAGTTTGTAGTAGCTAACCTAATCAAGAAATAATCTGTTTTATTGACTCAGAAGTGATACCTAGTTTCAAGGCTGTACAAAAAAAAATAATTAT